CATCACCATTCACTACGACGCCAGCGCTCAGGCAGCTTGTCGATTCCATCCTTCCAGAACGACGGAGGCTGGGACTTGAAGAAGTCGTCGAGCGCCTTTCTGACCTGATCCTTTGTTTCGAACTTTTTTCCGTCCAGATAGCGCTGCAGGTGGCTGAACAGCCAGTAGTCAGAAGGAGCGAGGTCAGGGCTGTAGGGAGGGTGGGCGACCATCAGCCATCCGTACTTCTCCAGCTCGGCCTGGGTCGCCTTTGCAGTGTGAGGTCGGGCGTTGTCATGGTGGAAGTAGGTTTCCGCATTCCTTCCACGAGTGTCGACGTGATTTTCATTTCCGCACTGGGTCACCTATGTCAGCGTCAATTGGTCTGTCCTTCTCCAGCAGCTCTTCAAGTACTCGATGCCTCTTCTGGACCACCAACAGGACAGGGAACCTTTTGGGGTGAAGGTCGGCCTTTGGGGTGGCTTCTGGCTGTTCTCCTTTGTCGACCCACTGCCGCTTCCTCACAGGGTTATCGTAGAGGACCCACTTCTCATCTCCAGTGATCATCGAGTTGAGAAAGTGAAGCCTCTTTTGGAAAGTGAGGAGAGAAGTGCAGGTGGTCACCCTCCTCGAGAGGTCATAAGCGGACAGTTCATGTGGGACCCATCGACCAAGCTTTGCTACCTTGCCGAGCTTTTCTAGTCCACGTGCAACCGTCGAATGATCATAGCTAAGCATGGTCGCCATTTCTCTGGTGGTGAGGTACGGGTCCTCCTCCACGGTGGAACGTAGTACTTCCAAATCCAACTCCATCGACCTCGGAGCATCTTCGAGAGAAAAGTCTCCTTTCTTGAATTTGGCGAACCAATTCTTGCATGTCATGTAAGAGATGACGTCCTCACCGTATGTATCCACCAGCTTGGTATGGGCTTCCTTTGCATTCCAGCCGAAATCGTGGAGCAAAACCAAACAGTGGCGCAGGTACGTTTTGTCACAGTGCAAATTGTGCGACATTGTGTACTGCAAATGCAAGCTCGGTGATAGCTAGTGTAATGAAAGAGTATAATGTACACGTCACGCACACGTGATGACGTAATACCAACATCCATGCGAACGAAATAGGAGAGGATCAAACACGTGTATAAGAACTTATGCGACAACCTAATAGGTTCTGTGTATATACAGATGTAGAACGGAGGGTGATCTAGGGAATGTCACGTTTGTCTTCCAGTGCACGTCCTACACTGATATCAGAGTCTTTGCCACTCTCATCTCCTCCTTATTGTTGATCGGTGGATTGAGCTGCTTAATTCCTAACGCTTCTAACGCTTCTCTTATTCTTCTCTCAACGGGATCAACCACATTTCTGTGCAAAATGGAGACTCGAAGTTCGGGCGGTCTTTCCTGAGCATGCCGTAGTGTACGATGTCTCGAGAATGGATTATCAGCGTAGTTCTGTGGACTACGCAGAGCTCTTATGTGTTCCTCCATTCTCTTGTGTAGCGGCCTTGATGTTTCTCCGATGTAAAATTCATGACACGAAAGGCACACCACCTTGTACACTACATATTTTTCTTGACACACCTTGTGTTCTCCACATCTGGCAGATTGCGCTTTCACAACGACTTTCATGGGGTCGTGATGATGTTAAAAGCCGTCGCAAAGCGAGAGGTGGTCGAAGAGATCAGGCTTATTGGAAGCCGTGATCTCTTTACGACGTGATCACATAACTCGCAAAGGAGTCGCTGATAAAAGGCAGAACGAATGGAGTACCACAAGGTGATCGGCATGGTCTCCAGCAACGGAGTTGCTGGTTCCTGTATCCGTTCCGCCGTAGGATATTCTCAACTTCTGTCTCCATTTCTTCATGATTCGTGGAGGTCAGCTCACGTGATGTAGATATCATATGGCGAATCACGTTCACTTTCATGTGGAGGGGATGGCAACTTCTCGCATGAATTAGGATGTTCTGTGATGCCGATTTCCTGTACCACACTGTTTGGCCCGACCTTCGAAATCTTGATCTTGGTGTTTAGAAATGGGAGAAAGCATCAGCGGGAGGGCGTTCGGCTGTTAGCTTTATCGACTGACACATCTGGTTGAGTTTTCCAAATGTCTGTCGTAAGGCTGTTCGCGATCTTCCGACGATGAATATGTCGTCGATATATCGTCCAAAATAGAGTACTCCCGGTGATAAGGCCGTTCTTTCAAGGCTATCCATAAATATTATTGCTAGAAGTGGAGCCAATCTGCTTTGTAAGATGTTTCTGAAGCGGAATATGTTCACATTAAGCACGTTTCGTAGTAGCTCTCCAATGTCCTCACATCAAGACCCAAGCGTTGGAAGCTGATGGTGGTGATGGCGCAAAAGATGCATACATGCTTCTACAGCTCTTCGGGTATCAACATTGGTATAAAGTGCAACTACGTCGAAGCTTTCATATTCTAATCGTGGCCTGTCATGAAAGTTGCACTGTCTTAATTGCTCCAGGAACTGCTTCACATTTTTGAGGTGGTAGGGAACATAGGAAAGCAGAGGAGGGAGAATACGAAACCAAAAGAGGAAAGAGAAACCAGCTAATCCTGTCCGTAGTACTGCCACAGGATGCTACTACTAGGTCTGGTTTTGATAGACATGTGGTACTGTTTGTTCCTCCAGTGTATCCTCTCTCCTCTGCTTTCCTATGTTCCCCACCACCTCAAAAATGTGAACCAGTTCCTTGAACAATTAGGACAGTGCAACTTTGATGACACAACTTGATTAGAGTATTAAGGCTTGCACTTTACACCAGTGTTGATACCCGAAGAGCTGTGGAAACATGTATGCATGTTTTGCATCATCACCGCCACCAGCTCCAACTCTTCGGTCTTGATGTTGAGGACATTAAAGACTCCTACGAAACGTGGTAAATGTGAAGATATTTGACGACAACAGTCGTCCTATCATAAGGTTGTAAGCTAATAATC